TCTTGGTCGTATGATATCCTTCCAGATAATTTTCCATAATGATCTTATGGAGAGGTTAAGGGTCAACTAGGGTTTCATCCTGCTGACTCAAATCTGGAATTCCTTCCGCCATCAAAATTTATAATAGAGCGGGCTCCAAGATTCGACGGTCTGATAGATGATGCCCCGTCAAAGTACATCTCCCAGAATAGTAGATTTTCATTCTCCTTGACCTTTATTATCTGCTCATCGGGCAAATCATCATTTAGTGGAGAATCGGCTGGGATTGGTTATGCAGTGAGGAAATCTGCCAAGGCCTGTCCTATCACCGCCTTCTATGGCATATATATGATTTAAAACTGTAATAACATTACTTCCCACCTGGCCAGATGACCTGTCAACGCTGGTCTTGTCATAAAAAACTTTAGCGGATCAATCTTTGATATCAGTGTGATTTTATGGGATAGCATATAGTGGCAGAGTTTCTGAACTGCAAAAATTAGCACCAGAAAATGCTTTTCAATTAGGGAATAACGACTTTCTGCTCCAATTAACCTTTGACTGATGTAGTATAGTGCATTTTCTTTATCTTCTTCATTATTCTGGGCCAATAGTGCTCCGAGGGACTCTTCTAGTGCAGCTATATACAATATAAGAGGCTTCCCCGGAATTGGCGCTGCGAGAACGGGTGGATTCAACAACTATCTTTTAATGTTGTCAAATACCTCCTGACATTCTGCATCCCATTTGAAACGGACATCTTTCTTTATTATCTTTAAAAATGGCTGGCACCTACCCGATAGATTTGATATGAATCTCCGAATGAAAGGCAGTTATCCTTGTAGTGAGCGAAGCTATCGAAGGTTCCTTGGTGGTGGCATCTCCTTGATCGCCTTAATTTTGTTGGGGACGATCTCTATGCCTCGATGACGAACAACATTGAAAGTTTGTTAGGGATGTTAAGCCCTATGAACTTAGTCCCAAGCTAACCAAGAGGGGGGTTGAATTGGTATTTTAAAAACTATTTTCACAAAGAAAGAAAATTGCATAAACCAAATCACACCACAGAAATAAATGTGGAGTTTAAAAGCGTGGAAGCAAGAAAAAAAACACAAAAATTTATAGTAGTTCGGTCGACTCGACCTACATCCACTCCTTGGAGGCACCCTCCAAGTATTGCACTACAAAATGTGACTCTCCTTTAGCCCCCACAGCTAGGCGGAGAAGCCCTCACAAGAACCTCCTTTTTTCCACCCCGGCAAGGCAGAGAACCTTCCTCCTTTTGCTTCCTCCTGAAGCTGGCAGAGAACCAAAACCAAAAGCAAACTCCTTACCTCTACCGACCCTTCCACATACGACAAACTCTATACGAAGACGAAGCAGAGCGATCCTGAAAAACAACCCTTGTGAATCCCCTCACAAGCTTCCCCTCACTAGATCCTCTCTCTCTCCTCTCTCTCTTTCGCTCCTCAAGGTCTTCTCAGGTCAAGGCAGCAGCCAAAGGTCTTAAAAAATGTTGAACAAGAGCTCTTAAATAGAAGAGCTTCAAAGGAGCTCATTAATTGCAAGTTGTCGACTATATCGTCCAGGTCGATCTTGATATCAGCCTGGCCGATCAGTACAAATCAATGAAGATCGGCCAGAGCATAGCCCTGGATGCAAAGCAGGACGATTGAAAATTTGCTTGATCGTCCAGGCCGATCTCACGATCGTCCTGGCCGATCAGTTCAAATAAAAGGAAGATCGTCCTGACAATAGCCCTGGATACGAGCTGGCCGATATTGATCGTTTTGAAGTAACTTAAGGTTTTTGACTGGATCGTTCGGGCCGATCTTGTGATCGTCCCGGACAATATGATCGTATCAATCATCCTTAATTACTCCCTTGATTTCCTGAACAATTATGGTATAATTTGTGAATATCGTCCAGGCCGATCCAAGGATCGTCCTGACCGATAATTAAAAAAAAAAGTATACCATAATTGACTATGGAGGCTACTTCTTTCTTTTTTTGAGCATATCGTCCTGGCCGATACACGTATCGTCCAGGACGATCTGTTAATGTTGGCTGCCTTAATTAAGAATCCTTAATTAGACTTTCTGTTTTAAGCTGATCGTCCAGGCCGATCCAAAAATCGTCCTGGCCAATATGAGTAAAAATGGAAATTCTAAGTCTCTCAAGTGTGTGTGTGAAGGGTTACATAGCAAAAGTCTCTTTGACCATTACATGTAGACTCAAGAGGTGAAAATCAAACGTACAGACTGACTCAACCCTAAACATACGCAATCCTGAACTTGGCTTCTTCTTGATCGTCCGATCTTCGATTCATGAAAAGTTAGAAGTAACAAGTAGTCCAAGAGAAATAGTGTTTGTCAATCATCAAAACATAATACATAAAAAATAGGTTTGCAACAATCTCCCCCTTTTTAATGATGGCAAAACACTACGAAACAGTTAATCACAAAAATTCAGGATTGATGAATAAAGAACCTCATAAACTTCTCCCCCTTTTGACATATCAAAAAGGAAGGAACAAGAAAGAAAAGCAAAAGAGATTCCCTCTTCTTTTTTTTTTTTTTTTTAACCAAGGCATGAACATGATATAGTATTCCATGTGATTGATTTAAAAATTTGTGAGTTAATGTGTTAATAAGCTCTTCAATCTATAGAATAGTAGAATATCCGATCATGGTTACCCTTAGCTCAAAACATTTTCTTAGGGTAGAATCGTCTTTGGAAACCAATGAACTATTTCAAATAATTAATTGGATATGAGAAAAGGAATCCACCTACCACTTGTCGTAAGAAAAATATCTTCATGAAATAATGAAGTAAGGTGGTTTTGTCACAATCGTACGATAATCGAGATCAAGCCTTTGAGAACCAAAACTTTTAAGTTCTAAGAGATTTAAAAAGAGAGAGTAGCTTGCTTTTTAGTGGGCTCATTTTATGCCTCTTGTTAATTTTGTGGCGCTTTGTGTATCTTTTGATAGATTTTTCTATTTTTTGCGTCTTTGCGCATCTTTTGTCGGCATCATTGGCCAATTTTTTTTTTATTTTTGCAAGCTAGATTCTCTTTTATAATCCCTTAAAAAAATCTTAGTTGTGAATATATCTTCTCAGATATTAGAGAATAGGAGCTCTCTCTCTCTAACATTAGGAAGAATTACCACAAGCAGGATTAATAATCAAAGACAAGAGTAACGAGGGATCTTATTGATGTGACAAAAAAACATTAATCATTATAAATACAAGATAGATTTGCTTAAGCAAGCTTAAGAAAAGATCCTAATTTCATTAACAATCATTAATTTGAGATAGACTTTTGATTAGAAAAGAAAACTATGCCACTAAAATAGGTTAGAGAAAGAGACACAATCACAAAATATTTATACTATCTAAGAGATTAAGTAGATGAAAACATATTGACTACAAATTTCCAAAGGCAAGGACATGGAATATAATATCATATTAGCGATGATTTTGAAAACTAAGAAAAGAGAGACAAAAGGGGAAAAAAAAAGATAAAGCAAAAAGAAACAAAAGCAAAAGAAAATAAAAAGCAAAAGAAAAAAACAGAGAAAAAGAAAAAAAATATTTTCATGCATTTATGTCAATCACACCCAACCTGGTCCTTAAAGAGCTGAAAGTATCGAAGGCCAGTGGTTTAGTAAAGATGTCCGCCAGTTGATTTTCAGTTGTCACATGGTGTAACTCAATGTCTCCCTTAGTCACATGATCTCTAATGAAGTGATGCCTAATGTCAATGTGTTTAGTCCTTGAATGTTGGATAGGATTCTTAGAGATGCATATGGCACTAGTATTATCACAAAAGATTGAGATGGTACTTACATGTAATCCTAAATCCAATACCTGTTGTTTCAACCAAAGGACTTGAGCCACACAACTTCCAAGAGCAATGTATTCAGCTTCAGCAGTGGAAAGTGCAACAGAGTTTTGCTTCCTACTAGACCAAGAGACCAAAGATTGTCCAATGAATTGACAAGTTCCAGAAGTGCTTTTTCTATCCACCTTGCATCCTGCAAAATCAGAGTCAGAAAAACCAATAATCTCAAAAGAAGTGCTATGTCTAGGGTACCAAATCCCTAATCCTTGTGTCCCCAAAAGATATCTAAAAATTCTTTTAACAGCAGTCATGTGGGATTCCTTAGGGTCAGCCTGAAACCTAGCACAAAGGCAAACACTAAACATGATATCAGGTCGGCTCGCAGTCAAGTAAAGTAAAGATCCAATCATGCCTCTATACTTCTTCTGATCAACAAACTTACCACTTGGGTCCTTATCCAATGGAGCACTAGAAGTCATGGGAGTGTTAATTGGCTTGGCTTTGTCCATCTCATATTTCTTCAAAATGTCCTTTATGTATTTTATTTGATTAGATGTTACAATGTGGACCCCA